TTTCATCAACGCACACAATTTTTTACTATTTTTCTGTGATTTTTTCAACATATGAGGGTGGTTTTTTCCTACCCTGACGGGTCGTAAGGGGTTGTCCTTCATTTTGTAGGTTCATTAACACCTCAATGAGCTGTGTGTAAAGTTTTATCAACGCACACAATTTTTTACTATTTTTCTGTGATTTTTTCAACATATGAGGGTGGTTTTTTCCTACCCTGACGGGTCGTAAGGGGTTGTCCTTCATTTTGTAGGTTCATTAACACCTCAATGAGCTGTGTGCAAAGTTTCATCAACGCACACAATTTTTTACTATTTTTCTGCGATTTTTTTAACATATGGGGGTGGTTTTTTGAAGTTTTTTCCTACCCTGACGGGTCGTAAGGGGTTGTCCTTCATTTTGTAGGTTCATTAGCACCTCAATGAGCTGTGTGTAAAGTTTTATCAACGCACACAATTTTTTACTATTTTTTTGCGATTTTTTTAACATATGGGGGTGGTTTTTTTTTAACCCTGACAGATCGTGAAGGCTCGAAGGTTTAGATTGAAGATTAAGCACCATTTATCGCCCTAATAAGCTGTGTTAAAGGATTCATAAGTTAATCATATTTTTCGTTATTAAATTTTTGAATGTATTTTTTTGTGTCCTAACAGCCTCCTCACATCATGTTGGTTTGAGGAAACTACCATATACATGAATGAAACTACCTTCAATATGAATAAAAAAAGGCTGCTGAAAATGGCTGCTAACTTCACATTTTTGGCTGCTGAAAATGGCTGCTAACTTCACAATTTTGGCTGCTGGAAAACGGCTGCTAACTTCACACCGGTGGTTAAAAAACGGGTGGAAAAATTTCAAAGTAATGTCATCTGAAGCTTTCTAGGTTTAAAAACTTGTCGAAAAATTTCAAAAATGTCATTTTTGGTTATGAATTAAATTAACGTATAATAGGCCAGGAAATTTTGGAGATTTTTCTTGTACTACTTTTTTTTGATCGCAACTATACTTGTTGACAAAAATTATTTCATTAAATTTTTTTTTGTCGTATTTATGATTTTACCGGTCTATTGAGGGGACTGGTGGGTCAAATGGGGTGTCAAATTGTGGAGTGGAGTCTGTTCTTTCAGATAAATATCGAAATTTGGTGAAACAAAATTGTCTTCGATTTTTTAGAATTTTTTTTTTGTCGTATTTCTGATTTTACCAGTCTATTGAGGGGACTGGTGGGTCAAATGAGGTGTCAAATTGTGGAGTGGAGTCTGTTCTTTCAGATAAATATCGAAATTTGGTGAAACAAAATTGTCTTCGATTTTTAGAATTTTTTTTTTGTCGTATTTCTGATTTTACCAGTCTATTGAGGGGACTGGTGGGTCAAATGGGGTGTCAAATTGTGGAGTGGAGTCTGTTCTTTCAAATAAATATCGAAATTTGGTGAAACAAAATTGTCTTCGATTTTTTAGAATTTTTTTTTGTCGTATTTCTAATTTTACCGGTCTATTGAGGGGACTGGGGGGACAAATGGGGTGTTAAATTGTGGAGTGGAGTCTGTTCTTTCAAATTAATCTCGAAATTTGGTGAAACAAAATTGTCTTCGATTTTTTAGAATTTTTTTTTGTCGTATTTCTAATTTTACCGGTCTATTGAGGGGACTGGGGGGACAAATGGGGTGTTAAATTGTGGAGTGGAGTCTGTTCTTTCAAATTGATCTCGAAATTTGGTGAAACAAAATTGTCTTCGATTTTTTAGAATTTTTTTTTGTCGTATTTCTAATTTTACCGGTCTATTGAGGGGACTGGGGGGACAAATGGGGTGTTAAATTGTGGAGTGGAGTCTGTTCTTTCAAATTAATCTCGAAATTTGGTGAAACAAAATTGTCTTCGATTTTTTAGAATTTTTTTTTTGTCGTATTTCTAATTTTACCGGTCTATTGAGGGGACTGGGGGGACAAATGGGGTGTTAAATTGTGGAGTGGAGTCTATTCTTTCAAATTGATCTCGAAATTTGGTGAAACAAAATTGTCTTCGATTTTTTAGAATTTTTTTTTGTCGTATTTCTAATTTTACCGGTCTATTGAGGGGACTGGGGGGACAAATGGGGTGTTAAATTGTGGAGTGGAGTCTGTTCTTTCAAATTAATCTCGAAATTTGGTGAAACAAAATTGTCTTCGATTTTTTAGAATTTTTTTTTGTCGTATTTCTAATTTTACCGGTCTATTGAGGGGACTGGGGGGACAAATGGGGTGTTAAATTGTGGAGTGGAGTCTGTTCTTTCAAATTGATCTCGAAATTTGGTGAAACAAAATTGTCTTCGATTTTTTAGAATTTTTTTTTGTCGTATTTCTAATTTTACCGGTCTATTGAGGGGACTGGGGGGACAAATGGGGTGTTAAATTGTGGAGTGGAGTCTGTTCTTTCAAATTGATCTCGAAATTTGGTGAAACAAATTGTCTTCGATTTTTTAGAATTTTTTTTTGTCGTATTTCTAATTTTACCGGTCTATTGAGGGGACTGGGGGGACAAATGGGGTGTTAAATTGTGGAGTGGAGTCTATTCTTTCAAATTGATCTCGAAATTTGGTGAAACAAAATTGTCTTCGATTTTTTAGAATTTTTTTTTGTCGTATTTCTAATTTTACCGGTCTATTGAGGGGACTGGGGGACAAATGGGGTGTTAAATTGTGGAGTGGAGTCTGTTCTTTCAAATTGATCTCGAAATTTGGTGAAACAAAATTGTCTTCGATTTTTTAGAATTTTTTTTTTGTCGTATTTCTAATTTTACCGGTCTATTGAGGGGACTGGGGGGACAAATGGGGTGTTAAATTGTGGAGTGGAGTCTATTCTTTCAAATTGATCTCGAAATTTGGTGAAACAAAATTGTCTTCGATTTTTTAGAATTTTTTTTTGTCGTATTTCTAATTTACCGGTCTATTGAGGGGACTGGGGGGACAAATGGGGTGTTAAATTGTGGAGTGGAGTCTGTTCTTTCAAATTGATCTCGAAATTTGGTGAAACAAAATTGTCTTCGATTTTTTAGATTTTTTTTTTGTCGTATTTCTAATTTTACCGGTCTATTGAGGGGACTGGGGGGACAAATGGGGTGTTAAATTGTGGAGTGGAGTCTGTTCTTTCAAATTAATCTCGAAATTTGGTGAAACAAAATTGTCTTCGATTTTTTAGAATTTTTTTTTGTCGTATTTCTAATTTTACCGGTCTATTGAGGGGACTGGGGGGACAAATGGGGTGTTAAATTGTGGAGTGGAGTCTGTTCTTTCAAATTAATCTCGAAATTTGGTGAAACAAAATTGTCTTCGATTTTTTAGAATTTTTTTTTGTCGTATTTCTAATTTTACCGGTCTATTGAGGGGACTGGGGGGACAAATGGGGTGTTAAATTGTGGAGTGGAGTCTATTCTTTCAAATTGATCTCGAAATTTGGTGAAACAAAATTGTCTTCGATTTTTTAGAATTTTTTTTTGTCGTATTTCTAATTTTACCGGTCTATTGAGGGGACTGGGGGGACAAATGGGGTGTTAAATTGTGGAGTGGAGTCTGTTCTTTCAAATTGATCTCGAAATTTGGTGAAACAAAATTGTCTTCGATTTTTTAGAATTTTTTTTTGTCGTATTTCTAATTTTACCGGTCTATTGAGGGGACTGGGGGGACAAATGGGGTGTTAAATTGTGGAGTGGAGTCTGTTCTTTCAAATTGATCTCGAAATTTGGTGAAACAAAATTGTCTTCGATTTTTTAGAATTTTTTTTTGTCGTATTTCTAATTTTACCGGTCTATTGAGGGGACTGGGGGGACAAATGGGGTGTTAAATTGTGGAGTGGAGTCTGTTCTTTCAAATTGATCTCAAAATATGGTGAAACAAAATTGTCTTCGATTTTTTAGAATTTTTTTTTGTCGTATTTCTAATTTTACCGGTCTATTGAGGGGACTGGGGGGACAAATGGGGTGTTAAATTGTGGAGTGGAGTCTGTTCTTTCAAATTGATCTCGAAATTTGGTGAAACAAAATTGTCTTCGATTTTTTAGATTTTTTTTTTGTCGTATTTCTAATTTTACCGGTCTATTGAGGGGACTGGGGGGACAAATGGGGTGTTAAATTGTGGAGTGGAGTCTGTTCTTTCAAATTGATCTCGAAATTTGGTGAAACAAAATTGTCTTCGATTTTTTAGATTTTTTTTTTGTCGTATTTCTAATTTTACCGGTCTATTGAGGGGACTGGGGGGACAAATGGGGTGTTAAATTGTGGAGTGGAGTCTGTTCTTTCAAATTAATCTCGAAATTTGGTGAAACAAAATTGTCTTCGATTTTTTAGAATTTTTTTTTGTCGTATTTCTAATTTTACCGGTCTATTGAGGGGACTGGGGGGACAAATGGGGTGTTAAATTGTGGAGTGGAGTCTGTTCTTTCAAATTGATCTCGAAATTTGGTGAAACAAAATTGTCTTCGATTTTTTAGAATTTTTTTTTGTCGTGTTTCTGATTTTACCGGTCTATTGAGGGGACTGGGGGGTCGAGTGGGGTGTTAAATTGTGGCATGGGGTCTGTTCTTCAAAATCAGCTTCGAAATTCGGAAAACAAAATTGTCCTGAATTTTTTACATATTATTTTTGTTTTAATTTGTTGTTATTTTACAGGACTATTAGTTGTTATTCTACTGGAATATATTTATTTGTTCATTTTAATTGAAAATACATTCAGATTGTATAATTTCAAGTATTTTTCAATTGTTGCTAAAGTATTTTGAATTAATTTATTTCATTTAAATTGTTGACCTCCGCCCATGGTCGTTCGGCAATCTTCGGCACTTTGGCAGCTAACTATTTGTCAGCTAACTTCACACCGCTCATCCATTACATTTATATTACAAGTATTAACATCAAGGGTTCTATCACAATTATAGAAGGTAACCGGCGCAGATGAGGCCTTCCTAATCCAAACTAGACTGACTGAACTAGATTGTGCTCTCTTGAATTTGATAAGAGAATAAATAACTTACTTTGGATTGTTGAAAGCAGGATGATCGATCATCTTCGTTACCAATTCCTTGGTACTGTTCTCCAGACCTGGTATTGGAGGGATTGTGATGGTTTTCATGTGCTTCTCTACTAGCTCCTGCGTTTTTCGCTGTTTAGACATTTTCGATTTTCACTAGCCCCTATTCAAGTTTATATGATATTAAAAATAATTTGTGGAAACAGTAGCACAAAAGGTAGAAAAAGAATAACAAACGGGAAGGAAATGAATAATGGACGATGAGATGACGACCGTTGGTTTGGAGGGAATGTTGACACTTCTAACTTTTTGACTGTTATTCAAAAATCAAACAGAAAAAATTTGGACATATCTCATACGTCAAGACAGCCGAAGCACGTTCGAAAACAATAGTTGTATTCCTTCCACACCTAGGAGGAGTTCTGGAACATCTCCGGGGTGTGACGCGCTAAATGCTTTCGAAAAGTGAAAAATGTTTGTTGCTCCTGAAGTGCTCAACTGCTCAAGACCGAACTTAAAACATTTAATGCACGAAAGCCAACGCATCTGTTCCTTTCAAATCAAGGTCGACTAATACCGGAGCGAGAAGCTCTAGTGTTTTTAACTCTTGAAAGGAATACAACTTATAAAATGATATACCGAACGCAATCATCCGGTATACAGGTTCAGATTCACTGATTTCACTTCACAAACACAACTTTAAGTTGTAATTATTAGATACATTTCCGGCTTTAGTGTTCCCATTTCACTGTCCCCGTCTAGGTTTTGACGTCACAGATCAGAGATCTCTGCGAGAGACGGGAGTGCTCCGAGAGCAATTATAATCCAAACGAGGGCACGCCTTTTGAGATCAATGGCCGTCGGCCGAACGTACTATTGATTTGACCAAACTCCTTTGATCCATCGAATTTGACGAAGCAAGAAAGAGAGGTTCTGTGGAAGAGAGCTCCATGCGAGATTTGAAAGCGTTCTCTTGCTCAAGTCGAACACGTAAATCTCGCCGAGAGCAACGCTCCGGTTTAAATGAAGCCGAACATCTGATATGTGTTTAGTTGCTTTCCAGCTGACCATTTTGGGCACGCAATCGAGCTTTTCCGCGCTAAAATGCTTTAAGCGCGTGTTCGTGTTCCAGCCGTACTGCGCTTGGAGAGTTGCTAACTTTTTGCGTTTCAAACACAGAACACTGTGCTGCACCGTGCTTGAAGCACACATCAGAAGGCGACTTATGATGAATGGATGGATCAATGTCATTTGGGATGGATGAATAAATTGACTAGCAGCATTAGCAAGATTGTTGAAAAGTGTCTTAGGAAAAAACTATTGACATTTTTAGAGCAATACAATTTACTTCATAAAAACCAATTTGCCTTTGCAGAGAACCTAAGTACTGAAAATGCACTTGTGAGGGTTTCAGAGGGAATTTTGAAAAACTTAGATCAGGGTAATAAAGTAATAGCAATCTTCTTAGACCTAAAAAAGGCTTTTGACACTGTTTCACACCAAATTCTCCTAAATCGATTAGACACTATGGGAATTCGAGGTATTCCAAATGAGCTGATTAAATCCTACTTGAGTGGTAGAACACAAAGCACAAAGATTGGAGATCAGCAGAGTGATAAACTTCGAATGGAGTCTGGTGTGCCGCAGGGAACTGTTCTCTCACCTCTTCTTTTTAATATTTATATAAATGGAATAATGGAATTATTTGGGGAGGATATTGTCTTTTGCTTTGCTGATGACACTGCTATTGTCCTAAATGGAGCTAGCTGGGAAATTGTAAAAAAAAGAGCAGAGTCAGCACTACAGAAAATAAGGGGATGGTTGGATGATAGTCTTCTATCATTAAACATAGAAAAAACTAAATTTATGACCCTCTCTCTTTCTACACATACACTTCCTGATTTCCAACAACTTAAAATGCATGAAACGCAGTGCGTTTTTGAACTGCAATGCAGCTGTAACAAATTTATTGTTAGAACACCTTCATTATTATACTTAGGGGTGATTCTGGATGAAAATTTAAATTGGAAGGAACATGTACATTATGTGACCAAGAAAATAAGAAAGCTAATCTACAAATTTTATGAATTAAGGAACATCCTTGACTTTACAACACTTAAAATGATTTATTACTCTCTTGTTGAATCAATTTTGAATTACGGGATAGTGGTTTGGGGAAATGCTGGCGTTTCAATTCTATCAAAATTGCATGTTGCACAAAAATGGATTTTAAAAATTATTCTTTTTAAAGAAAGGAGGTATCCCACAAATTTGGTATTCAATGACAGCGGTGTTCTCAATCTTGAACAGCTATACATAAAATCAATAATTAGATTTATGCTGAAAAACAATTACTTTAGAGTAGATTTAGCACATGGAGTGAATACCAGAGGTGTGGGTCATGGAAATGTGGAATTGCAGAACCCTAAACATGCACGTTGTCAGAATCACATATATTGTGTAGGGCCTAAAATATTTAATGACCTACCAGGTAAATTTAAAACGCAAAACTACTCCACAGCCAAATCCGAAATTACTAAATGGATACTTGTAAATAACTATAAAATTAATTATTTGATCTAGACAGCCTTTTGGTTTAAACTTCGGTGCTATCGGTTGTGATTTTTCCTGTTTGTCTGTTTTTTTTCCTTCTAGAACATACATACCTCATGCTGAACATAATCAGTGAACAAATTGCTCATTTTTGTTAATTTTTATTAGACCTAGACACATATTATTATATATATATATATATATATATATATATATATATATATATATATATATATATATATATATATAGGTAACTCATTTTGAAATGGGTAACCTACCTCAAATAGTATTAAACTTGCAATGAAATGGGTGCACACACAATATTATGAATATCATTGTGCACCGAATAGTCAGTAGGAATAAGTTGTTATTATTTATTGTGAATACATATATAATAGTATTATGTATATTTTTGTTATACTACTGATAATAAATAAATAAATAAATAAATAAATAAATAAATAAATAAACATCGAACGCTTTTTGATTAATCGAGAGCAGTTTAGAGAAAAAAGTCAAACTATGGTATTTTCTTTCGGCTTTAACTGATTCCAGCATCCAGAGCGCACCCTATCTGAGCGATGACGTCATAGATCTTTGCGACAGTGCTCCGAGAGCGTTTATAATCCAAACAAGGGCACACGCTCCGTGCGAGAAAGGAGAGTCTTTTTTCTATTACTCAAGTCGACCACGTGAATCTCGCCGCGAGCAACGCTTCGTTTTAAGCCGCACATGTGAATTCGTTTCAAATCGCTTTTTAGTGAATCGGGAGCAGTTTTGGAGCCAAAGTCGGAGGCGCTATAACACCAATGTTGAAAAATAAACTCGTAATGGCTGCGTTCACCAGAACCAAAACGTATTGTAAACAGTTCACAAATACCAATAGAATACGTTGAGTAAACTCTTGGTTCTGCTGAACGATTCAACTTTTCAATAATAGAACGTCACTCTCTGAATGTCATGTCTCCACACAAAACACAACGTGTTGAAAAAAAATCGCTCTTTATGTTATGTTTTAAGGCTCGTTTTCCTCGGATGCGGGAGAGAGACGGAACGCAAGCGTGACGGAGTCTAGCGCTTCCCGGGGTATCGCGCTAGGGAGCTAGTGCTTTCCTCGAAGGCGACGCGACATGGGCGGTTCAGCAATCCGTTTATAGAAATGGATTCTCAAGATTTGCTATTTTTTATTTTAAAAAACATATGAATAGATAAATTATACAACACGGTATAATGCCTCACTAAATCAATCTACAACTTATTTTGCACTTCTGTAAAATTCGATATTTTTCAATTTATAATATTATTCCGTCCGTGTTGCGCTCCGTCGAAGTTGCCTGTCGAGTGTCGACCGACCGATGGCGTGATTCCGCAAGCGTCAAAAAAACTGCGCTCCGCCGCCGTCGCTTAGGAAAGCACATCTTTATATTTTTATTTTTAATGACGGCAACGTCTGCGGTACCCGAGAGATCTTGAAAGTCCAAAAGCGGGACAGTTACAAAGTTCTCGAAAATCTCGTTTCCATTTTTAGTTAAGTTTTCTTGGGTAGCTGGATAGTGATAGATAAATTACCTACTTATGTAGCTATACAAAATATGTAATGATATACAAAAAAAAAACAAATTATAAGCTACAAAAAAAAATCATGTCCGCGCCGTACACGTGGTGGAAGTGAAACTTCTCAAAATCATTTACAACTTTTCAGAACTACAGGTGCGGAATGAACGCCACCAGAAAATATGTCACAGTTTACTTTGGCAGTTTACCTATAACCCTTTTCACGTGGCTCATACCGCTCAAATTCGAGTGGTAGGTATTAGGGAGGATTTTCATGCATCCGTTTTTCCGTCGAAATATGTCCGTTTAACATTCTATTCTGACATAATCGTATATAAATATGTCAAAATAGAATGTTAAACGGACATATTTCGACGGAAAAACGGATGCATGAAAATCCTTCCTCCGTTAATCCGTTCACAATCCGATGTCCACTGGTATCGGTAAAGTTTATCACCTTTCAATGCTATTTGATAGGGAAAGGGAAAGATGAAAATGTACTTGCACCTGTGGACATTGGATTGTGAACAGGATACCCCTCCTTTTTATTCTCATCGGTGACTTCACCGATGAGTTAGCTATCATTGTTTAGTGAATGGAAAATGACAATGACGGCCATAGAATGGTGGATCCATCGGTAAAATTTGATGAGAATAAAAACGCAGGGATAGTCATTGAGGGATATAGGTATATCCATTATCCATCACGTCACTTTGTAACCGGGTAAAAGGCCGTATCAGACGTGCCGTTGCCGATTCCGTTAGCCGTTGCCGTCGCGGTTGCAATCACGCTTGACACTTGACACTTAGGGCTGTGCCTGTTACCTATGTTTAAAAAAAATATGTCAAAATAGTTCTGAATAAGAATTTGTCTTGGTGTTAGTGTACATTTTAAATCCAGATTAATGTTTGTGTGTTTTTTTTTAAAGATAAAAGTCAAAATGACATTATGTTGGCAATACAATGTAAAATTGTCAAGCTTTCAAATTTTTTGTGTAGAAAAGGCTTGTGTTGCCAACATAGTTACTAAATTTTTGACTTGGGGAATTATCTTTAAAAAAAAACAGACTTTAAATTCAAAAAAAAATCAGATTTTACACAAAACACCCATAAGTTTGGCCGTTTTTGCTCTACTTGGAAGAAAAATCTGTCAATATTCAATAATGAGGAAAAAGGTTTGTTTGGGCTTCAGTTCAAAATTAGTTCTAAATTGAACTGCGCTTGCGCATTTGGTCATATCATATAAAGAAATGCGAAAGCGTAGCGTAGTTCAATTCTGAACTGAAGTCCGAACAAATCTAAAATTGATGAAAATATTGACTGATTGGAAGAACTATTTTGTAAGCTGATTTGATTACAGAAACCTTTATTATAAATAGTTCGAATCGCATCCGCCGCGCCGTGACGGCGCATTGTTCCCCAAAATTCTTTTATAACTTTAAAATATGTCGTCTTTCCTTTCTTGACAGACCAAATTCAAAACTCAAAAGCTGTCAACCAACTTCTATCATATCCGACCAACCAAGGCCGAACTATGGGCCGAACCTGGTTGCGAATCGAAAACGGCCCTTCTTGCGCAGTACGGTGAATCATCGGTAAATAATAATTCAGGTTATCCTTGCGTTCGGTATTTTGCTCGAAGAGCAGAGCGTGCAGAGCGTGCAGAGCGGAGCTGTAATCACGTGACCAGCGAGCGCACAGAGCAGTTGAAAGCTATATCAGAAGGCTCAAAATTTTAATAATCGAACATAAATGAACCTGCACTGAGCACACTTTTTAAATAAACGAACGATAAATTTATGCTCGGAGAACTCAGATCAAAATACTGTACGCACGGTTTGTGACCATACTACACGCACACCAGACTGAAAATTGACAGCATTGAGGATGGGATGGGTATCAATTTCTCAGCACGCGAGCCGAAGTGCCACTTCGCTACCAGATTGATTGAGGATGTAGCTTAACACGTAACATTATACAATACAAAAAAAAAACACGACCACGAACTGATTGTTCTTTCGAAACTTGAAACGAGTTCGAGTCCGAACAGTAAACAAACGAGCTTTATTAGAGAGTTCTCGTGTCGTCCAAATTTTAAATTTCGTAACGCTATTTGACAAGTATATGACGGTTCTTACGGTATTAACGTTAGCGGAGCCCGCTATCTAACGGAATTTACCGGATGCCTTACCGTAACGCTATGCTATGTCAAAACCAGTTTACGCTCCATTTGTGTCTGAAAAAACAGAAACTTCTAATAATTTCTCCATAAAAAACACCAACGGAAAATGAATCAAGCTTAGGAATCTTCAGAATAAACAAAAGTTAGAAAACAAGCAAAAAAAGTGGGGTTAGATGACTCAACTCAGCTGTCAAAATGTAAACAGAATAAGGGATTAGAGGATTTATGTGTCTTCGTGCACGAGAACTATAAATTACCATGTGAAATACCGTATTGTTAGCGGTACCGTATTAACGTAGCGTCTGACGCACGAGAACTTTCTATTAGAGAGTTCTCGTGCCTCAAACGCTACACTAATACGGTACCGCTAACAATACGGTATTTTACATGGTATTTTATAGTTCTCGGACGCGAAGACACAAAAATATTCTAATCCCTTATTCTGTTTACATTTTGACAGCTTAGTTGAGTGATCTAACTCAACTTATTATTTATCCTGAAGATTCTGAGTTTGATAAATTTTTCCTTGCTGTTTTTTATGGAGAAATTATTAGAATTTGCTGTTCTTGCAGACGTAAATGGAGCTTAAACTAATTTTGACATAGGATAGCGTTACGGTAAGGCATCCGCTAACTCCCGTTACGTAGCGGGCTCCGCTAACGCTAATACCGTGAAAACTGTCATACTTGTTAAATAACGTTACGGAATTTGTAATTTGGACAGCACGAGAACTCTCTATTAGCTCTTAACCGTTAAGCCATTAGCCCCCGTAAAAGGATATCCTCAAAATCGAAGGAGTACGTTTTTGTCTGTAGCCGCGAGTCCGATCACCCTGGGTTGCGTTCGAGAATTGGTGTGTCGTATAAAAATCACACAGCTGCCGTTCGGAAAAGCGGAATGTGGATAAAAATCACACGGTTTTTGGCGTTCGGAAGAGTGGTTCTGTTCACGTCCTGGTGCGCGCACCGAACACATTTAAGTCCCGACTAGAGTGTTAAAGGGCCGAGTTCGGCTTTACTCTCTGTAAACTCCGAACGCCCTCGAAACGATAAGATCTTGTTCGTTTTAGCTCTCAGACTGTTCTCATTTGCGTTGGGCTTATGAATGCGTATGACTTCACGGGCTGTGCTTCACGATATCAATCCTCATAGCGTTCCGCTCCGTGGGGTGAAAATAATCAGAAAACTCTTTGATGGCGATTTTTACCAATTAAAAACGCTGACTGGTTTGTGATTTTTGTGAAAACAGACCTCATCTGTATTTCTGTCAATTCAATTCAATTTTATAAACAAAACAAACCACAAACTATACGAACCTTTCGGTCAACGTTCGAAAGCCTAGAGCTAGATTTGCACACCGAAGTGTATCCGCCCCCACTCCCTGAAATCATTTCCACACGTCATAAGTTGTATTCCTTTCAAGAGCTTGAAACACTAGAGCTACTCGCTCCAGTGTTAGTCGACCCCGATTAGAAAGGAACAGATGCGCTGGCTTTCATGCATTTAAATGGTTTGAGTCTTTTAGCGTATTTCATTGGTAGAGTAAGTGCAACACTGGTGCAATATTCGTGATCCATTGGCAGAGTCGCGCTGAACTTTTGTATTTTATTGAGAGAGCAATGCACCGAGTTTTGCACCGAGTGCTGCTAGTGCGCCACCGGCTAAAAAGCTTGTGTCGCACTCAGTGCAGTTGTTTATTGTTATTTTTGAAATTGAGGTTATTGGTGGTTGATGATTTTTCATAAAAAAACAGTCCTAAATAGTATTTTTTTATTGTGTTTTTTATATTTGTCTGCGAATCTACTACCAAAAATGTCAAAAATCGCTTGTTGAAGGCAATTGCGTTGATGGAAAGTAGCAGCAGCAGTGAAACCAGTGAATATGAAGAATATTTAGGGCTTCTAGCAGAGAGGCAAGAACTTTTTTTTAAATAAAATTATAATAATTATTTATAATAAGCACAAGTATAATTTTTTTAATGAAATAGGCTCGTTCAGCATATTTTTTTTATTACATATTCTAAAAGAGCGTATTGAGTTTAGCAGTTGTGCAAAATTTCATAATTTTCCGAGCCCTTGTTCATATTTAAATAAATTATCAAAAAGCTCCAAGTTTGGAAATTTCGAAACACGCGGTGACGTCACTGCATCTCTCAAGTTGGTCGTGTGACGGCCTTTAGCCCGTCTTGACTCGAGAGATGACGTCATACCATCTCTAAGCGATGAATTTCTGAGGCATAATGTTTTATTATTCAAAGCCGCATAACTTTTTTAATATTTATCCAATTGCGCTGATTTTTTTTTTGTGTGCTATATGTGAGTAATACTCCATAAAAATATCAAAAAACGTGGTTAATGGAACCTCACTGAACGAGCCTATTCTATAGTTGGGGTTTGACGTATATGGGATGGTGCAGTACGTTGATGTTTCATTGGGACTGCACGCGAGCAGTTTTTTTAAAGTGTCAGTGCAAAACTAGTGTTGCACTTTCATCTACCAATGAAATACGCTATTTGAGTCGGGCCTGAGCACTCAGGTGCGTTCATTGGGTGCAACAAACACTTTTCGAAAGGAATATGCGCGTAACGCTCCGGAGCTGTTCCGGAGCGCCTCCTAGGTGTGAAAGGAACACAACTGCTCCACACCAACAGCCAGGTTCTCGAACGCAGCCCTTGATTTCGCAAAGAGGCCCCCTTCTGGCTCTTTTCTGCATTCAGCAAATCAGCAGCTCAATGTCAAGTTTGTTTTTGTTTATGTTTCACTTTTGTACTGTTTGAATTGTTTGCGGTTTTTTTTTTAAATACATTTTTCCTAGTTTATTTTTGCTTCATACACTAGATCGACAAGTATGGATGAATCAGGTAAAGTAAAAGAGATTTTTCTAATTCAGGAACAAGTAACCTTTTTATTTACCAATTTTAATAATAACTTAATTAAGAATTTATTTAAAATATGAAAACCCTCGATAACACCTAAGTAAAGCTGGATTTATACAGCAAATAAAATAAAATAAGATAAAATAAGAAATAACAGTTAACCTCATGAGATACCCTTAAAGTGTTTATACAGAAAATAACAAATAAAAATACATTAGTTATGTATTTGTTATTTTATCTTATGTTATCTTATTTTATTTTATTTGCTGTATAAATCCAGCTCTAATAGGACTTTTAGAATCCATCGTCAGAAACAAAAATTTATTGTCAGAAATTTGAAACTAACCCATCCTCTTAATAATCTTTTAGAAAGAAAAAAACCCTAAGAAAAAAGAAAAACTTAAAAAAAAGGTAACAGTTTAGTAAAGGCCCTTCACACAAATATAATGCTTCTTCTTTATAGTTTGATCCCAAATTATTATTTTATGATCAAAAATGTTGGCCCAAATAACTAGGTATAAATTGGATTTTATAAATATTGAGTGAATCCTCTTCTCAACCTTTGACACAGATCAATATATAATATCAATTCTTATCAGCCTAAGGGCCAAATTATGGACCAACTGGTAAGTGTCTGGTTGGTACCTAGCAGGTATTCTCTAGTACATAGAAAGTACCTGCTAGGTAACAACCAGACGTTTACCAGGCAGTCCATAATTTGGCCCTAATACCACAATCGCTCTGGTTAGCAGATAAAAATTTAATAAACATGAAAAGCACCATGTGGTAGATATTCGAACTGAAAGAAGAGCTAAGTGTTCAAAACATTTTTCGAAAAAATCATTACTGAGTAATGATAAAGCGTTTAATACCTATTGAACTATTGAAATTTGTACACTCTAACCGAAAGTAACTACTGTGCTCTGTGCTGTATTGAAACTGATCAAAAACATGCAAACTAACCCGACTTTGTACTGCATGCTAGTCCCCGTAAACTATTTTGAGATATAACTTAACTGTCTATAAAGAAAAAACATGATATTTTTGTGAAAAACCTTCACTAAAAAATTACCAAAAAAAGTGTATTGCCTCCAACGAGAATCGAACCCAGGTCCATTTACTTCAAAAACCGTGCGTATCCCCTATCTTAACAGGCACGACGAAAAATAGAACAAACTTAAAAGGCCGATATTTTTGAAAAAAGTGCATTATCCAAAATTTTTATTCAAGAAATCGTTGAATAATTCTCTACTTAAACGAATTATGTGTCTATCAAGCCCTCGATCAAGCCTCAATGAGTGTGGCACTAAAGTGATATGGCATGGCACCTAAATAATATAAGGTCTGTTCGCACAGAAATCACAAACCTGTCAGAATGAATTTCATTGGTTGAAACTAGTTTTCTGACTGTTTCTGATTGTTTTCAAGCAATGAAATTCGCTCTGATTGATTTGTGATTTCTGTGCGAACAGACCTATAGTCATATAGTTAAGTATTCAATTGTGGGCAACCCTAAATTGTTTTACATCAGAAAAACTGCTCAAGATTTTGTGATAGACACATACAATTATCTCATAAAATTAAGCCAAATTAGGCATACTTGTACAAAGAGATATTAAAATTTCCAACTTTTGAGTTGGTTATTTTTTGAAAAAATTTTTTTTCTTATTTCAAAGTCAGTGACGTCACAGCATCTCTCAAGTTGGTCGTGTGACGGCCTTTAGCCCGTCTTGACTCGAGAGATGACGTCATACCATCTCTAAGCGATGAATTTCTGAGGCATAATGTTTTATTATTCAAAGCTGCATAACTTTTTTAATATTTATCCAATTGCGCTGATTTTTTTTTTGTGTGCTATATGTGAGTAATACTCCATAAAAATATCAAAAAACGTGGTTAATGGAACCTCACTGAACGAGCCTATTCTATAGTTGGGGTTTGACATATATGGGATGGTGCAGTACGTTGATGTTTCATTGGGACTGCACGCGAGCAGTTTTTTTAAAGTGTCAGTGCAAAACTAGTGTTGCACTTTCATCTACCAATGAAATACGTTAAGTATTCAATTGTGGGCAACCCTAAATTGTTTTACATCAGAAAAACTGCTCAAGATTTTGTAATAGACACATACAATTATCTCATAAAATTAAGCCAAATTAGGCATACTTGTACAAAGAGATATTAAAATTTCCAACTTTTGAGTTGGTTTTTTTTTGAAAAAATTTTTTTTTAGTGTTCATGGTCACTTTTTCTTATTTCAAAGTCCTACAACTATAACCGGTGTGAAATTAGCCTCTTAAGATAGCCTCCAAAACTTCCGGAAACTGCCGAACGGCCAGTGGCGTCGGAAATATAGGAAAATATATTCTAGAATCTGCTTGTACTGACAAATTCATATTTTTGGGAAAAATTGTGACAAGTATTTGCTCTTTTTCACCCCAACACCAGATTCCAATAGGCCGGCGTAAGAGTCAAATATATAGAGTTGAAGATATAAAAAGAAACATATCTCAAAATCTGCTCGCGCTGACAGATTCATATTTTCAGGATACATTTGGATAAGCATTTGCTATTTTTTCACCCTAACATCAGATCCCGATGGGCCGTCAGAGGGTGTCAAAATGAGGGTGAAGATATCAAAAAAATCATATCTCAAAATCTGCTCGTGCTGACACATTCATATTTTCAGGATAAATTTGGACAAGCATTTGCTATTTGTTCACCCTAACATCAGATCCCGATGGGCCGTCAGAGGGTGTCAAAATAGGGGTGAAGATATCAAAAAAATCATATCTCAAAATCTGCTCGTGCTGACAGATTCATATTTTCAGGATAAATTATGACAGACATTTGTTAGTTTCTCACCCAAGGCTCCTAAAGTTAAGGTTGTCTTGTAATGGGTAACTTGATGAAGCATCTGGGATGCCTTATGGAGACACCCTCTGACGGTTTATCGGGATCTGATGTTAGGGTGAAAATATAGCAAATGCTTGTCAAAATTTATCCTGAAAATATGAATCTGTCAGCACGAGCAGATTTTGAGATATGATTTTTTTGATATCTTCATCCTCATTTTGACACCCTCTGACGGCCCATCGAGATCTGATGATAGGGTGAAAAAATAGCAAATGCTTGTCCAAATTTATCCTGAAAATATGAATGTGTCAGCACGAGCAGATTTTGAGATATGATTTTTTTGATATCTTCACCCCTATTTTGACACCCTCTGACGGCCCATCGGGATCTGATGATAGGGTGAAAAAATAGCAAATGCTTATCCAAATGTATCCTGAAAATATGAATCTGTCAGCACGAGCAGATTTTGAGATATGATTTTTTTGATATCTTCACCCCTATTTTGACACCCTCTGACGGCCCATCGGCATCTGATGATAGGGTGAAAAAATAGCAAATGCTTATCCAAATGTATCCTGAAAATATGAATCTGTCAGCACGAGCAGATTTTGAGATATGATTTTTTTGATATCTTCACCCCTATTTTGACACCCTCTGACGGCCTATCGGGATCTGATGTTAGGGTGAACAAATAGCAAATGCTTGTCCAAATTTATCCTGAAAATATGAATCTGTCAGCACGAGCAGATTTTGAGATATGATTTTTTTGATATCTTCACCCCTATTTTGACACCCTCTGACGGCCTATCGGGATCTGATGTTAGGGTGAACAAATAGCAAATGCTTGTCCAAATTTATCCTGAAAATATGAATCTGTCAGCACGAGCAGATTTTGAGATATGATTTTTTTGATATCTTCACCCTCATTTTGACACCCTCTGACGGCCCATCGGGATCTGATGATAGGGTGAAAAAATATCAAATGCTTGTCCAAATTTATTCTGAAAATATGAATCTGTCAGCACGAGCAGATTTTGAGATATGATTTTTTTGATATCTTCACCCCTATTCTGACACCCTCTGACGGCCCATCGGGATCTGATGATAGGGTGAAAATATAGCAAATGCATGTCCAAATTTATCCTGAAAATATGAATCTGTCAGCACGAGCAGATTTTGAGATATGATTTTTTTGATATCTTCACCCTCATTTTGACACCCTCTGACGGCCCATCGGGATCTGATGATAGGGTGAAAATATAGCAAATGCATGTCCAAATTTATCCTGAAAATATGAATCTGTCAGCACGAGCAGATTTTGAGATATGATTTTTTTGATATCTTCACCCCCATTCTGACACCCTCTGACGGCCCATCGGGATCTGATGATAGGGTGAAAATATAGCAAATGCTTGTCCAAATTTATCCTGAAAATATGAATCTGTCAGCACGAGCAGATTTTGAGATATGATTTTTTTGATATCTTCACCCCTATTTTGACACCCTCTGACGGCCCATCGGGATCTGATGATAGGGTGAAAAAATAGCAAATGCTTGTCCAAATTTATCCTGAAAATATGAATCTGTCAGCACGAGCAGATTTTGAGATATGACTTTTTTGATATCTTCACCCTCATTTTGACACCCTCTGACGGCCCATCGGGATCTGATGATAGGGTGAAAAATTAGCAAATGCTTGTCCAAATTTATCCTGAAAATATGAATGTGTCAGCACGAGCAGATTTTAAGATATGATTTTTTTGATATCTTCACCCCTATTTTGACACCCTCTGACGGCCCATCGGGATCTGATGATAGGGTGAAAAAATAGCAAATGCTTGTCCAAATTTATCCTGAAAATATGAATCTGTCAGCACGAGCAGATTTTGAGATATGATTTTTTTGATATCTTCACCCCTATTTTGACACCCTCTGACGGCCCATCGGGATCTGATGATAGGGTGAAAAAATAGCAAATGCTTGTCCCAATTTATCCTGAAAATATGAATCTGTCAGCACGAGCGGATTTTGAGATATTATTTTTTTGATATCTTCACCCCTATTTTGACACCCTCTGACGGCCCATCGGGATCTGATGATAGGGTGAAAAAATAGCAAATGCTTGTCCCAATTTATCCTGAAAATATGAATCTGTCAGCACGAGCAGATTTTGAGATATGATTTTTTTGATATCTTCACCCCTATTTTGACACCCTCTGACGGCCCATCGGGATCTGATGATAGGGTGAAAAAATAGCAAATGCTTGTCCCCATTTATCCTGAAAATATGAATCTGTCAGCACGAGCGGATTTTGAGATATGATTTTTTTGATATCTTCACCCCTATTTTGACACCCTCTGACGGCCCATCGGGATCTGATGATAGGGTGAAAAAATAGCAAATGCTTGTGCCAATTTATCCTGAAAATATGAATCTGTCAGCACGAGCAGATTTTGAGATATGATTTTTTTTGATATCTTCACCCCTATTTTGACACCCTCTGACGGCCTATCGGAATCTGGTCAATCTGGTGTTAGGATGAAGATAGCAAATGCTCGTAGTAATTTGTCCTGGAAATATGAATCTGTCAGCACGAGCAGATTTTGAGATATGTTTCTTTTTATATCTTCAACTCTATATATTTGACTCTTACGCCGGCCTATTGGAATCTGGTGTTGGGGTGAAAAAGAGCAAATACTTGTCACAACTTGTCCCGAAAATATGAATTTGTCAGTACAAGCAGATTCTAGAATATATTTTCCTATATTTCCTACGCCACTGGCCGTTCGGCAGTTTCCGGAAGTTTTGGAGGCTATCTTAGGAGGCTAATTTCACACCGGTACAACTATAATAATATCTTGTTTCCACAACTGTAAAATGTCTAGTTTTGAGGTACTTATAGTGCACCAGAACCATATGGCTCTAGAAATTTTAAAAATACTATCAGAGAAATCAAAAGTGCCTCATTTTAGGGGTATCGGACTCCCCCAATTTGCCATTATTTTTGTCGGCCAAGTTGATTTCCGTGATTTAGAAATAAAAATCAAACATTATTCGTGAAATTAGATTTTCATGTATCAAGAAACATAACCACGTCAGATCGACATTTTGGGGGTATCGGACTCCCCCAATTTGCCATTATTTTTGTCGGCCAAGTTGATTTCCGTGATTTAGACATAAAAATCAAATAGTATTCGTAAAATTAGATTTACCTACATGTATCAGGAAACATAGCTACGTCAGATCGACATGTTTTCCGAGAAAAGTCGTAGAGGAAAAGTTGTAGGACTTGATGTAAGCAAGCCACTCACAAAGTATGGGGTTTACATGTATAACTGAAAAAAAAGGTCCTTGGATGGTTGACTATGTCCATAATCTAGTGATCAGAGACAATTTTGGAAAACATCACAAAGAGGCTCATTGAGATTATTTCAATTTGCTTTTTTTTTTTAAATACTAATGAATTGTTGCATATAATTTCAGATTTTACGGAACAACTGAATAATTACGACCGCCAAATACAAAATTTAGAAGAACAAAAGCTGAAAATATTAAATAAACTGAAAACTCTGAAACAAGCCAAAGAAGAATTGCGACTACAATACTCTCTAAGTAAAATAAAAAATAGACCAGGCATTTCAGAATGGTTAGGGAAGGACTACGTTTGGTCTAAAGAAGTTTACAAAATCCTAAAAAGCAATTTCAAATTTGACGAATTCCGCTCGAATCAGTTGGCGGCCATAAATGCAACTTTATCCAAGCAGGATGTACTGTTAATTATGCCTACTGGTGGCGGAAAAAGCTTGGTATACCAGCTACCAGCGATAGTTACTGGTAACGTTTCAGTTGTGATCTCACCACTTTTATCATTAATCGAGGATCAGCTAATGGCTTTAAGGAAATTTGGCATAGCAGCTGCGACAGTTAACTCAAACAGCGCGACAAGTGAGAAGAAAGAAATTACAGCTAAAATGTTGGAAAATAAATTAAATTTGATATTCGTGACGCCCGAATGGATGGCTAAGACAAAAAGTTTCATGAATACTCTGACGAAAATATATAATGCCAAGAGATTGGAACGTTTCATTATAGGTAATGATTTTTCATAGTTATATTTTTAAGTTTTTTTTTTTAAGATGAGGTTCTACCAATCTTGAATACCTAGTTTCCTTTTTTATTTACAGTTGAATTTCTTATATGTATGCAAAATTGGCCCGAAGAGTTCCAAAAGTTTATGAAATGCTCTCTAAAATGAGATTTAAACTGTTTTCATTTCTATTTTAAATTAATCTTCCGCTCTAGAACTTCATTTTTCCTTTGGTCTAGTTTTTTAGGAGCCCGGCCAATATAACCAACTCCGTGTCTTCATCTTCATCACTGCCAAAATGTGTGCCCTCTTTTTGTTAATATTCTCTCTAATATAATATTTAAACTTTGAAAGCCACGGATGTTTTTAAATCGGTAAGATAATAATTGTTATTACATATTCACTTTGAGCGGACAAATTTATGTACTGATGGTATAGTTTGATAGATATCAGCTGTCCTTGGTCGTTTGTGGTGTTGATCAACTTATTTTCCAGTTCTTCAGAATGTCGTTCTATTTTTTCATTCTCAGCTCAGTTTCTCTAAATGTGCTAGCGATTGACTCATCAAATTCTGTGGAGTTTTGGCCTATATCTTCTAATATTCCTGAAAGTTCTTGGGTGATTCTCATTGATTTTCCTCTTACATCGTCTTCAGATATCTCCACTAACTTCAATTTTTCCATTGCGGCCACTTCACAACACCATGATAGTGCAGATCCAACAAAGTCCAGAGCACGTTTTTCTCTAGAAATTGTCTTCTTCTCTTTCCTCATTGACTGGGCATCCCAGTTCTCATTTAATAAATTGAAGTAATTCAAAAATGCTTTAGACTAGACAAACCATCAATTTGGTTGACTATTAAACATTCCTTGTCTTGACTATTACCTTCACATTTTCCCATTAGTTTTTTTCCTTCTGTCAATAATTTCTCTTCGGCCCATGTACCTATATTGCCTTTAAAAAAATGCACCTGTATATATTTCTGTTCGTAAAGTTTAATAAGTAGGAATATGCTTGAAGCTAATGAAATAAAATATGAGCTTGAAAGTTTCTTGAATCGTGAAATGTTATAGCCCTTATTTAATGTAATTAGCTGATTCCGCTATTTCAGAAATGCATTATCATATTTCATGATTCCTGAAAAAATACCTAGGGGCTTTAAATTGATGATGCTTCTGATTAATGCGACATTTTGCTGACTGATTTTTATTAATTTATTTCTTACCGTTCGCAATTATATTTAGTTCAACGTGAGTCCTGACCCTTACCGTGCTGTTTGGATCTGTGCGCTCTGTAAGTGGGAACAGGGTCACTATACTTACCAACTACGGCGTTTGATAGAGTTTGTTTGGTTATTTAGGAGACCCTCTTGTACGCGGTGTGGCAGCTGTCGGTTAACATACACCGCGTGGGCGCACACATCAAAAAGGTGTTTGGCTACTCTACGTTCTCCCGGTACGGAGCGAAAGAGCCCAGTATTACAGGCGAATGTAAGGTCAAGGTAAACAAAAAAAAAACTATTCTAATCTTTCAAGGAACTGCATTATTAAAACATTGGAAATATAGTTTTCTTCACTCAATCGATATGATTCATTTTAGACATTTCAATGGTATATGCGATATTTTTCTTACATTCTAAAAAAATTATTTATCTCGTATGGCCGTTTGCAGCGACCATTTTAAGAAAGCAATAAGTAATTCTTAAAATGACATTTTTACAAGAAGAAATGTCATTTTAAGGAATACTTATCGCTAAGGCTTCCTTAAAATGGTCGGTGCAAACGGCCATTAGTGGGGTAGCCTTTGGAATCCACAGGTCATAATAGAGTAGTATTCTACTCACATGAACTATATTATCTTACTTTGCTGAGCTAGTTTTCCTTTCAAATCTCATAGTATTCGTCCGAAATTTTCCTAACAATGTAAATTTAGTCCTAACCATCTTAGTAGGAGTTTTTCGCTTCTACCAACTTTTCTGACCGGGGTAAAGACCTTCACTTGGTCTCCTATATTATATTCAATATGTCTGCGCTTGGCGTCATATCTTATTTTGTCAAGATTTTGTCGTCTATTAATATTCTGTACCGCTATGTTTCGAACTGCAAGGAGTGCAAGGGCGTTTTCCTTAATTTCATGATTATTCAACTGATTCGAAAATAACGCCTTATCGATCCAAATCGATTCAGGACTGTCAGCAAAAATCATTGACCTAAAATCTAGGTCGTTGGTTCTAAGCTTTTTGCTAACATCCTGATGCGTTTTCTTTATTTAATATAACATCCGTATTGCCCAACTAAATAAGGACGAATCTTTTCAAAATGTCTTTTTGATCCTCAGAGTAAAGGACCACGCACAAATTACATTGAAAAGTGGTTTCGGTGAAATTGCTTGAATTTTTAGTAGGTTGTACTTCTAACCATCTTGTTTGATTTTCCAAAAAAAAATAGGGGGGTCGATTGGATGGTTTCGCCGCTACAAGGAAAATAAGGCGCCCGTGCAATTCAAATAGGACCCGCATCGTATTTCGATTACCTGGAAGGTAACAGGTCTGTTTCTGCAGAAATCACAAACCAGTCAGAGTGAATTTCATTGGTTGAAACTAGTTTTCTGACTGTTTCTGGCTGTTTTCAACCAATGAAATTCGCTCTGACTGGTTTGTGATTTCTGCAGAAACAGACCTATTGATTATAGGTAGTGCCGGTTATAGGTAATATAATAATAATGGATGACAGCAGCGCCGACTTTTGAAAGTCCTCATGGGTGCAGGATAATAATATTTATAAATTTGTTTATAGGGGGAGGGGGTAGGCGATTTTTTTTTGCCGGATGCCACGCCCGAAAACCTCTAGTTTATATAGTGTTTCCGATCGCTAGATTCGGGCAGCACTAGAGCAACCCTCGCTCAATTTTTGTATTCGATTTTATCCCCCCCGTATGCCTGGATAGGTAGTATAAATTTTCAACAAACATTTGATAATGCATTTGTTTTTATTTAAACACTGTATCCCATTTTGGTTTTACATACATAAGGTATATCTCAGTTGCTATATTATTGGAGTTAGAAGGATACGGTTTTCGCGAACGTTGGCTACTTTTCTGTCAAAAAGATGCCGTCAACAAAATTGTCATCACCCTTTTCGTTTTTCAGATACAAGGTGTTTTTGAAAAAGTTGCATTTTGAGACACCCGTTGTATCTCGGATCTCTCACAAGTGATCGAAAAGGGGACAACGGGTTCTTATACAGGGTGATTTACGTAGTCCGTGCATTAGCTTGCAGGTGGATAAGATGCTATCTCTATTAATCCACCCGCAATCTAATTGAATTCTAATGCACGGGCTACGACAATCACGGTGTGTATATCTCTCTCAGAGATTCCAGTGGCGAAGTAAGTTTTTCTCTAAAGTGACAGTTTCTGAATAATGAACCAAACATACGTTTTTTCACATGAAACACCCTGTATTAATAGCTCGTTGGATAACTCTGCTTCTGCTGATTTCAATGGTATAAAGTTCGATAGGTTTATCTCCATCCTGTTTGTTTTTGTTATAAGGAACAATGCTTCAGAAAAGGACTTTGCACCTTAAGGAAAATGAGAAGGGTCTCTTTCTAACACTGTTTCTTATGACAAAAACATTTTTTTGCTCGAAAACTGCCAGAGATAAAGCTATCGAATTTTATATCATTGAAATGAGCAAAAGCAAAGCTATCCAATGAGTTTAATAATATGTTGGGTGTCTCATTTGAAATAACGTAAAAATCTGTTTTTTTTTAAAGATAAAAGTCAAAATGACATTATGTTGGCAATACAATGTAAAATTTGTCAATGCTTTCAATTTTTTTATGTAGAAAAGGCTTGTGTTGCCAACATAGTTACTAAATTTTTGACTTGGGGAATTATTCTTTAAAAAAAAACAGACTTTATGTTTGGTTCATAATCTAAAAACTATTACTTTTCAAGAAAAACTGACAGCGCTTTTGGAATCTATGTAAAAATATCTATAGGAACCCGTTGTCACGTTTTCGATCACTTATGAGAGAGCCGAAATACAAAGGATAATTTTGTTGACGGCATCTTTCGTTTAACAGAAAAGTAGCTAACGTTTCCGAAAACCCGAGCGAAAACCGCATCCTTCCAACTCCAATAGCAACTGAAAATATCCCTTATGTACAACCAAAATGGAACACACTGTAACTGTACAGTCAAAGAAATAGGTACAAGTAGAAGAAAAACAAAATCAAAAAACAAGTAAAAAGTAAGCCCAGTATCAAGAATTTATAGCTGAACCACCGTTGGAATGACCATTAACCACGCTTGTACTTCTGCATTCCCCACAAGAGCTCTCATGGGTACTCCGCACCCATGAGAGGTTCCTCATGGGTGCACCTGCCCCAATGCCCCCATGTAGTCGGCGCCAGTGATGGATGAGGTAAATATAGGTGCCAGTATTTATCAAGATGTTGCAAATTTTGTCACTCCGTACTCCATTGTCTTCTAATAACGTCTTTGTAAATAACTGTATATTTTTTTAACTATTTTTCTGGGGTTTTTTGAACGGCGGCTTAACAAGGAAGTAGAGAGCTCTTTTTCGCCATTTTGGAATCACCCTGTTTAATAGTCTGTTTTTATGGGACTTAGTTTTTATTTATACAGGGTGTTTGGTAGGTCGATGCATATATTTCGGGATATGATAGAGTAAATCATATAGAACCAATTTAGTCAAACTTACCCCAGTACCAAGTCTTAGGGTTTTCAAATATGGCCGATTTAATTTTTTCTCAAACAAATCTAACAAATCCTTTGTTTGGCGCTTCAATGCAATATGTATTCAGGAAAACACCATAAATTATCAATAGTAATATAACTAGTGCAATGGAAATTATTGATAATTTTTGGGAAATTTGCCCGAATGCATTTTTAGTTGAAAAAGAGCACGAGTGCACGTAGTGCACGAGTGCCTTTTCAGTTAAAAACGCATGAGTGCATAATTTGTCGAAAATTATAA